GGTTACCCAGCTCCTTGATCAAATCAATCAGAAATTGCACTCTGAGTACTGAAGTACTAAAGGCTCATTTTTCTTTCAGTATGAAAGACAGCATGAAATGTACCCTATTTAGGCAACGTTTCATGCATATACTTGCAGAGTTATGGCCAGAATGGGCATCAAACTAATAATGCTATTGGAAACATAAATATGAAAGTGCTATAAAAGCTTATCAAACAATATCTGATAAAACAATATCACTTGAATAAATACCAAATTTGTTGCCTGTAACCAAAGTAACACCTAAAGTAAACAAGGAAAATATTAAAATTACCCAGGTTCACGCCTCAATCGAGGGTAAAAATATTAGAAACAATTTCACCAATTAAGGAAGACAAAAGCAAATAATTCTAAGCAACAACAAAAAATTGAAATATTCTATAAATGTGAAGAATGTGGCAAGAATGTTTGTGCTGCGACTAAGAATACAATGCATTATTCTGTTTTCGCTAATTTTGGATTACCGTAAAAATCGCCTAAGTTTGGTCACCTTTTAACTTTGGTCATTTAAGAAAAAAATATAAAAAAAGCATGCAAAACTTAAATTTTACTATCTTTTTTTTTGCAATAATGTTTGTTATTACTTTGTAAATATGAATCTATAAAAAAATGTTTCTTTGCAACCTGCTGAAATAATTCTTTAGCAAAACAACAATTCAAAAAAAGGCATACCATTAAAATCTAAAATAAGCAAAGTATTAAAATAAATTATCAAATATAACCTGAGCATTATTAAAAAGCACCAAATTAATTATAATTACAAAATATATATATATATATTAATTTTTGAATATTAAGTGTTTTTTTTTTAATGTTGTGAAATGTTGATATGTTAAAAATGTGACTTAGTGAATATAAACTTGTGTTGTGATTGTGTAAATTTACAGGTAAATTTACCTGTAAATATACCAGTAAAGTTTGACATTTTTATAATGGATACTCACCATAGAATTTGTTTATAGTTTTAAAAACACTTGTTTCTACATAAAAATAAAATTTGTTTATAGTTTTAAAAACACTTGTTTCAACATTTTAAAAACACCTGTTTTAGCATAAAATTTACTGATTAGTTTGCAGTTATATTTTGATTTCGAAATTTACTGGTAAATTTATATCACAAAATATAAACTAATTACGAAACAATAATATATATTGCAACGTCCTGAAAAAGTTCTTTTTCAAGTTAATATATCTATGTCATCTATGGATTTATGCGAGAAAGCATGGATGGCTTGTGGTTTGAAGGCTGTGGATAAAGTTATAAGTAAAAGGAAAGCAGATATAACATTTGGGTTCAAAAGATCAACTTTCATTGACTGAAGTAACGACAAGCATACCAAAAAAATTGGCAAACCAACTAAGTTGAGTAATAAAATTGAGGACATTTTAATAAAAACTTTAATCTTTATGAGTAATATTGGATTTAGTTTGACTAGACTAAAAATACTGTGTTGCTAATAACTACTTGATTAATTCAAATCAAATGTGTTTTGATGGCAGCAAAGTTACACTTGTCTGATACTACTCATTTATTAGACTTCATTGTGATAAGCTATCGCTCAGAACTTCAAATAATATGCCGTCAAACCGTGCAATATCGACTCAGCCAGGCACTGTTGATCAATGGTATTTATTAAAATTATATGTTTATAAGTAAATATATTTTATAATAAATTATTTTTTAATTAAAAAAAAAAAGTGCAATTTTTAAAAGGTAAAATTCAATTTGATTATAATGTTTACTAATCGTCTCTTTTCTATAAACTGTTTAATTTAAAGCATTTTAATAACCTACTTTATAATTTTTTTAAATTATTCAATCAAGGTTTGCACAAGATATGTACAATATACATGGATTTGCAACTAAACCATTCCACATTTTTAATTGCGATGAATTTGGCCTTCAATGTGATCAAGGCAAATTTAAGGTAGTGTTTCAAAAAGATTCAAAAAGGCCTAAAAATCTTTTGGAGTAGCAACAAAAAGGTTTCAATCACATTACTTGTTTGCTCTGATGCTTTTACGACATTCTTGCCTGTTCATGTTTTATTCCAAGGCCAAAGGTATTCAGGTATTTATTTTAAAAAGCATTTAAAACAGATGTGCGAAGAATCCAGAAAAATCTGCATTTTACTATTAATTATTTGATTGATCTAAACGGCTTCTAACTCAGGGTGGGCCAAGGGGTGCTACCTATGGTGTCACACAATCTGGCTGGATGGAAGGAGGTGTTATTAGGATTTATATAGGGATGGAACTTATGATATGGTGTTGAAGGTTTGGTCAAAGTAGATGTTTGATATGGTGTTGAAGGTTTGGTCAAAGTAGATGTTCTCATTTTAAATTAAATATTGAGTACTAGTTTTTATTTTTCATTTTTTTATTTTTACAATATCAATTATCAATATAATTTTCTGTATGTTTATATATCAATATAATTTTCTGTATGTTTCAGGAAAAAAAAATTGAAAATTTTTTAAAAAGCATAAGTGACCGAACATAGGTGATTTTACGATATAGCTTATAAAGATCTTATTTTTATATTTTTTGTTCAATATATGATTTTTTTTATTTTGTTAATGTTACATTTTATTCTCAATTCTTAAATGAAATCAATGAAATTTATAGTCATTTAGTATTTATTATCAGTTTTTTGAATTGGTACCTCAAAACACTAGGTCAAGCAACACAAAATCCAGTTAATTTGAAATGGAATTTTAAGAAAATTGGGTTTATTCTGTGCATGCATCTCTTTAGCACTGTTTAGAGTTTTGAAGCAACGTTTTTGATAACATTTTGCAAACTTATTTTCAGAAAATTTAAAATTGTTTAAAGAAATTTTAATGGCTAGTAGACTTTCTTTAACGTCTTTTTAATTTAGATCTAAGGATAATATTTAATTTTTTTCTTTACAACTTAACATTATATCCTTTGTTCTGATTAATCATAGCTTTCAGTATTTAAATACTTTAAATACTGAAAAGGTCGCAGGTTATGTTGCTTAATTTAAAACTTGACATTCTGAGGTCCCACTGCATTCTGAGGTCCTTCTGCATTCTGAGGTCCTCCTGCATTCTGAGGTCCTTTTTCCTGTAATGGAAAATCAAATTCAAATTTTTATTTTAACTTATTTAACCGTTTAATCAATATATATTGAATTCATCAATGCAATTGCACTGCAATCTATTGCACTATAAGTAATGTTTTGACATAAAATTCCTTATTATGCTATTGTTTTTAGATTATTTGATGAATTAAAATCAAACTTTTGATTTAGCACACATGATTCCATTAAATAAAATATATATTTTTTTCTATATTTTTATATTGTCCCACTCTAATGTAGCCATTCCGCAAGATATATTTTTTTTGTAAATATATTTATATATGATTAACATAGTTGTATAGAGCTTTAAAATTTTTAATTTTTTTAAACTTTAATAAAGGGGTCTTCAACTTAAGATGTTCATTGGATCCAAAGTTATAGCATTTTTTGTGCTTGAAAAACTGATGATTTTTTGACAAAATGTCTTGTACTTAAGTATAGAAAATTTGGTGTGAAATTGCACCAAAAAAAAAACATCAAAAATCTCAAATGTAGACCTTAAAGTTTTTAAACGTTGAGAACTAAATAATTATGTTTAAATATTAAAAATGTGATTTTTTCAAATTTTACAAAATTTATTTAAACTGAATTGAAATAATAAATAATGCATAACATTTAAAACATAACATGAATTGGCACTGGCATAGGAACAGGGGGGGGGGGGCGATAACCTGTGTGATAAATAATTGAATAAATAGATTATTTTCATCTATTTTTCTGTATCATACAAATTTGAGGAACTTTTTCCTTTTTTTTTTTCAGCCCCCCCCCCCCCCCAACTTTCGCAACCTTCCTATGCCATTGTGCATTGGTATTTGATTATTTTTAAAATGCCATGTCTTTCATATATATTTTTTATGCAAAAACCAAAAAAGTTTAACCATTATTACAAGATTACATATAATAATTAGGGGTGTACCAGATTGGAAATTTTGGAACCGGAATTGTTCAGAAAATCCCGGAATTCTGGATGGAACAAGAATTATACTTATGTAATTTTTTACCTTCAAGATTAAAAGTGAATGCCTGCACCTTAGCATCGCGGCTCATAATATATATTTACAGCCTATAATCATTCATTTACAGCCTTTAATCATTCATTCATTTGATTTTTGTTTAATTTAAATCTAATATCTTGTTTTTTCTTTTTTTCTTATAATTTTATTTATTAAAAATTTTAATCTGCATATTTATACTTTTAAAATTATTTCTTTATTTTCTATTTTTTCATTCAAGTTATTTCTTTATTTTCTATTTTTTCATTCAAATTAAATTGAAATATTTACTTTATTAGGACTTGTCCTTAAATTACGTCACGCTTTAAAGGGAAGGGAGGGGGTTAGTAGTTTTGTGACTACAAAACTACTAACCCCCTCCCCTTCCCTTTAAAGCGTGAATATGGACGTAAATTAAAAAAAAATCCGGTCATCTTTAAATTGAGATTTCTCCAAAACCACAAATGCTTTTTATTTATTTTTTTTTTTAATTAAACCTTACTTCCTTATCTTAAATGGTGTTGATAAATTTTTGTTTACAAATTAATGACTTGCAAAATGTTTTGGAAACAATTTGAGGTGCGTAAAAAAGTTGTGAATTTTTTTTGCAAAAATCCATCGACTTCCTATCGCTTGATTGCTAAACGCACAAATGTCCCAAAACCTACAGTCATAGATATTATAAAAAAGTTCAAGACTACTCAAAGCTTCGAAAGAAAACTTGGAAGTGGAAGAAAAAAAACTTTCCATAAATCCAAAAAGGTAAAGTCGATTTTACGTTCAATAGCAAGAAATCCAAATCAGTCACAGCGAGATCTAGCAAGAAAATTTAAGACTTCTCGTTCTTATATCAAAAAAGTACTTAAAAATGCTGGAATTAAAGCATTTCATAAAAAAATACACCTAAGAGAAGTTTAAATTGTGAAATTGATTGAATTCGACGCGCAAAGAAGTTGTTTAAAATAATGGCGGATAAAAATATGTGCATAATTGAAGACGACGAAACGTATTGCAAGGCGGATTTTTCACAACTTCCTGGTCAACAGTTTTACTATAAAAACAAAGATAAACCTGTCGATGATCAATTTAAATATATTCGACGAGAAAAATTTGCATCCAAGTTCCTTGTGTGGCAAGCAATTTGTAGCTGTGGTATGCAGTCCTCTTGTTTTGTCACTAAAAAGACCTCGACTGCCAATCTCTACATCAAAGAATGCCCCAAAAAAGACTTATGCCTTTTATAAAAAAACACAATACCGATGTCTCTTTTGGCCTGATCTTGCTGCCTCTCACTATTCTAAAAAAATTTTACAGTGGTGCAAAGATAGTAATGTGAAAATTGTTCCTAAAGATGCGAGTCCTCCAAATCGTCCTGAAGAGCGCAAGATTAAAGATTTTTGGGTAATAGTTAAAGGAGTTCTTCGTAAGACAGGTGGACTAACAAATAATAAAAAGGACTTCCAAAAAAAGTGGATTAATGCCACCAATATGGTGAAAAAAGAAAAAATCTGTAAAATGATGGCATCAACCCGCTATAAAGTTCGATTTCTTGCCAAGCAACCCATCAAGCCCTTTAAAATTAAGGTAAAACTCTAATTTATGTACACATTTAATAATAAAAAAATTGAAATAAAAAGCATTTATGGTTTTAGAGAAATCTCAATTTAAAGTTGACCGGATTTTCCCGTGTCCACCCGATAATTTTATTTTTACTCCTTATATTTCATTACACAAGCAATAAACATTGTTTGATCTCTTTAACTGATTCCTTTTCTTACTGCTATAAGGCCATCTTAGATAATAACGTTATGATCAATAATAGCAGTTACATGTGTTTGTTTTTCTTTATTTGCTTTAAGTATTTGGGTTTCAATAGAACTGTCTTCACTCTACTTTAAACTCATATCTTTAGAATCTATATAAAACATAAACTATAAAGAAGTTTTTTTAAAAAAGCTTAATAAGGATATAAACAATAATACAGCAAATGAATACCTTCTAAACATAAACTTGCTTTTTTGCAATTGGATTTCACTTCCAACCCATAATCAGCTGAAAGAGATTTATCAACTTCATGGCATACAGTGATATCTTCTTCATTTTCAATTATTACATATATAACAAAATACTCTACATATCATATCTAAGTATATTATATCATTATACAAATCCACAAAGTACAAAATAATGTTAAAATAGGCTGGGTGAATAAAAATAAGCAATTGCTTTTACTCAGTAATTGATCAGCTTTACGTGAATAAAAACTGTAGCGATTTTGGTTAAGTTTTTCTTCACGTAAAGCTAACCAATAACTGAGTAAATTGCTTAACTTTACGCAAATAAAATTTTTAGCAAAACTGCTAAAGTTTTTATTCAAGTAAAGCTGACTAATTACTGAGTAAAAGCAATTGCTCATTTTTATTCACCCAGCCTATTTTAACATTATTTTGTACTATGTGGATTTGTATATCCACATAGTACAAAATAAAATCCACATAGGATTTGTTTTTACTTGAAACTCTATATTTTTTTTGTTCTTAGCTTTCTACCCAAGTTAGTTTTTGTTGTTGTACCGTAAGCTGCCATTTTTTGTGAGGTTTTACAAACTTGCCAATAATTTTTGATTCAGAAATTAAATAATAGCCAAATCTGCAAAGTTTCCGGAGGTTTACTATTTTACAGAGGAGACAAAAGTTTTCATTTTCTCGCTGATATGTTGTGTTTTCTTTGCATACCAAATCAAAATTTTTGCTAATTGCACATGCAAAGTTTGTATTTAGGCTTTTAAATTGATTTGATCTAGAACTGATAAGATACTGGTAACGTCTTAAAACTGTTCTATTGGTAGGAGGTGACAATTCAGAAATAGGTGATTTGAGTAGATAGGTCTTCTGTCGCTTCTTTTAAAATTATGTAAAGAGTTTTGTTTTTTTTTGCTTTCACCATCCTGATGCAATATTTAATTTGTTTTCTAAAATTAAAATGCAATATTTAATTAGTTTTCTAAAATTAAAATGAGCAGGAAGTATTTATTTTATTAGTTCATAACAAAGAATAGTTGAACTTAATATTACCAAAAAGTAAAAACAAATAGTAAAAATGACAAATATCTTTAAAATCCATTTTTACATAAAGCTCTTAGAGTGGTCTAAAACAACTTTTTACGACCTTTTTAAATTCGTATTGAAATGGAGAACAGCTTAAAATGTAGTGGTAATTTTTTAATTTTTATCTTGTAATTGTCACCCTATATATATATATATATATATATATATATATATATATATATATATATATATATATATATATATATATATATATATATATATATATATATATATATATATATATATATATATATATATATATATATATATATATATACATATATACTGTTTTTGTTTTTTTGTGTTTTTCTTATTTAGACACACTATTACTCGTGGTGTGAACAAGGAAGCCCAAAACGATTTCAAAGCTTCAGTTATGCGTCAAGTTGCTAAGAGTAACGAACCGATAAAGAATCTAATTTTCCAGTTTTTACGTAACGAAAAAGAAGCGATTTTAGGCGTGATGTTATGAGTTTTAATCATTTTTTCTTCTGAGCATTCAAAACTTGAAAGTGGTTCAAATTTATTTATAAGTGCTTAAAGAAAATTTGTTTAAATTCGATCAAGATATGAATATTATGCTAAATATATATAGGCAGGGAATATCTTTTTCCGGATATTTCCGGAATTCCGGATATTTTTTCCGGATATCCAAAATGTTTTCTCATACATTCAAGTTTATATAATATTTGTTTTAATGTATATACACTTTTCGTTTTCAGTGATCAGCCATAAGAAAAATGTCAAAAATGTCTATAAAAATTCTGAAACCTACCAGCTGAGAGCAAAATTAGGAGATTAGTAAGGGAAAATATGTTCCGGATTTTTCCGGATATTTTACTTAAACTATATTTTCCGGATTTTTAAAAAATGACCTGGATGATCACTGTATATAGGTTTTCCTCATTCTAAATCTGAAAGTTTTATTTTCATTATAATTACGAAGTTTTCTCTCATTTAACATGAAAAAAAGTTACAAACCTTTTTTTTAGAAAATCTTCTTATTAAATATTTTTAATATTACAAAAAAAGATGAAAAAACATTTTGGCCCTCCGATCTCAGTTATTAAAAAGACGTTTAAATGATGTCTAAAATATGTCTTTTAAGAAATCTAAAATGCGCATTTCGTCGCGTTGGTTTAACAAGGTTTTAACTGACATTTTTGCCTTGATTGCCTTAATTGACTTTATCATTTTATTAGTCTATTTAAATCATGAACAAAATAAACTGAAATTTACTGCGATATAGCAAGCTGCTAATGCATAAGTTTTATCTGCAACTTTAGTTAACTAAATTTAGTTTGACAAGGTTCTAACTAACTGCATATTTTCTTGCTGTTTTTTATTAATTAGTTATTATGATAGAGAATCGTATCAAATAGAGAAAAAATCGTATCATTTAAAAACCACGTGACTTCAAGGACAAACCACATAACAGTAAATTCAATAACAGCGAAGCTGTTTAACTACGAGTAAGTTCTAACTACAAGTAAGTTCTAGTAAGTTCCTTTTTCTAACGTTGCTGTGCTAAAGATTACTCAAACATCTCACATTTTACATTTTAAAAGACATGATTGAAATGAACCTCTAAACTGTGATAATATCAAGCCCAATGAAAAACCTAACAGAAAAGATTGCAACTGCAAGTTCATTGACTTCCACTGTTTTGAATGTAAAACCAAAGTTTCAAAATTGTACAACTGCAGACTTCAAAAAATATATATATATGAAAGCTGCATTTCCGTTTCTGTCTCTTGAGGACAGAAACGGAAATGCATTTACTATCGAGTTGTTCTTTATCTATGAAATAAATAGATACCATAAAAAATCTTCAAGGGTTGTACTTAATGTAACGGTTTTAAAATGTACCAACAAAATGTAGTACAAAAAAAAAGAGTAAACAAAATTTTGAAACCTTGTTTTGTGACTGAAACAGTAATTTAATTTATGAAAATTAGCTTTTTATTATATTGTTTCAGTTACAAAATTTAAAGTAAGTAACTGCTTCAGTGACAAAATTTAAAGGTAGCTAACATGTTCCAACTACCGTTATTACAGCAGTTAAAACCTGGTCATAGCGAGAATATGATTATTTCACTATGACAAGTTTCTAAATATATTTTGGGGTATTCATTCTTTGAAGAGTGAAACATTTTTTAATAAAAAATAGTGATACTTAAAGCAAATGCTAATGTTACCATGAGTAAAAAATATTATGGATAGATTTTAATAAATTTTGATGGTAGCAACATTACAATTTTTATCATTGATTTACTCAAAACTACTCACGGATCAGTTAGAACTTTGTCAAATTAACGCGACGATTTGTAGGAGATCATAAGGCTAAAAACTTCTTAATAAAAATGTCTTTAAAACATCAAGGCGCGTACCCAGCATTTTTTGATGTTTTGGATAGGACACTTCCACACATTGTGCAAACTCCAAACTTAAGTATGCTCATGTCTATGCTAAATGAGGAAGTTGCAAAAATTTGAGACGGCGGAGGCCTGGGAACAAAAAAGCCCTAAAACGTTTTCACCCCCCTCATCAAATGTGAGGGTACCGATGTAATAAAATTTTCAACTTTACTTGATTTATATTTTTCTATGAAATTTAAAATCTGTCTATAAATTTTCAATTTATTGTATTTTACAACAGTTATGACCATGCAAAATTTACAACCCCTCATTTTGAGGGGGTTGGATTATGCATTAAAATTAAAGTATTATAAGTGGTCTAAGTAACGAAAGTATTTAAGCGTAAATAAATATGGTAGCTTATTTAAAAAATTAAAAATATATACGTTTTGACTTAATATATAACCGTAAAAAACTTACGTGCAGTTGCAACTTGAGTGGAAAATCAAAAAAAGTAAAGGTGATTTTCCACTCATCTGTTTTTCTACGGAAAAGGGAAAGGGAACGGAAAAATAATCACGTGAGCATGCACAGTTTCCTTACGGAAAATAAAAACTTTTATTATGCATGCTCACGTGATTATTTTTCTGTTCTCTATCCCTTTTCCGTAGAGTGGAAACTCACCTTTAAATATCACTTAGTATAGCATACAACTAATACTCTTCTGATGAATTTTTACTTTGCAAGAGTGGGGTATTCCTTTTCCAATGATAACCCCGCAACATTTATATGTTTTTGTTGTTCTTGGCGATGATGCCTTAACTCTTCCAAACTTGATTCTCCCTCAATTTTTAGATGTTGATACTGGAGTAATTTTAGTTCGAGGTGTTTCACAGAAATCACAAACACAAAATGATTGGTTTCTGGTAAGAATACTAACTTTTACTTTTGAGAAATCATACGGTTTTCTCAGAATAATATTTTTAACTCCCGTTTCAAGTCTTTCTAATGCTTTTCTATATTTAGTACATATGCTAATACTAGTACATATGCTTTTCTATATTTAGTACATATGCCAATACAATACAATGCAGTTGGGAAAGTTTTCATTGTTTAAATCAAATGATTTTAAAAATAACTTATTTGTTCTGTTTTGTATCACGCTTCCTACTTTAACTTTTGTTAAATTCCTGATACTCTTTAAAAACAGGCTCTATTATCTTTTAGTTTTTTTAACGTTTGACATTTTGAAACGATATGAGCAATACTAATCAATTTTCGAAATGCTTTTTTTAACATCTACTGTTAAAAAAAAAAAATTCACAATATCAATTCATAAATTTTCTTGAGATGACTGTGCAAGAGCAGTTAAAAAGATTTTAAAAAACCAGCTTGGAATTGCCCATGATATAGTGGTTGAGCGAGCCCATCGATATAGTGGTTGAGCGAGCCCATCGAATAGGAAGCGTTAAAGACAAGCTACCTTTAGCTACCTTTAACTATAGTTCTTAAACTCCTAAATTATAATAATAAATGCAAAATTTTAACATCTGTAAAAAAACATATCAATGAAGATTATGCAAAAGAAACCCTGGAACATTGTGAGAAATTGTGGGAAGAAGTTAAAAGGCATCGTAAAGAAAGTAAGTATGCAGTAATCAAATTTGATAAAATTTTTGTTAAAGATATGCATAATAAAAATAACGTAGTTGCGGAAATAAAAGGAGATTCCAACTCTCACCGGAATGGTTGAAATTAGCGATTTTAAGCACCAAGCTTTTAATTTTTCAAAAATGAAAACTTTAATAGATTTAAATGTAGAAAAAGACCCTAATTATTCTCATGATTTAAATAATGGCTTTTACTTTTTATCCCAGTAGAAGGAACTTTTTTTAATTCCTATAACGGCGAACAAATTAAAATCCTTCATGTAAATATCAGAAGCATAAGTCACAAGTTTGAAAAGCTCCTTTACTTATTAGAAGAAACTAAAAATGCTTTTAATATTATTTGTTTAACTGAAACTTGGTTAAACATAAACATAAAACATTTTAACTATTGAAATCTTAATTAATGAACCTAAAAATGTATTACTAAGCTACTGTTATCGACCACCTGACAGTCTGAGTGAGAATCTGAGCACGTTTTTTGAGCAAAATGTTATTAAAATAGGCGTTAAAGAAAAAAAATATATATATATTATTGGCGATCTAAACATGAATTTTTTAAACTACGAGAATGACTGTAAAATAAAAAAAATTTATGATTTAATATTTGAAATAGGAGCAATTCCTTTAATTAATCGTCCAACTAGAGAATTAGCAAACTCAGCAACTCTCATTGATAACATTATTACAACTGATGTCTTCAATAACAATATACAAAAAGGTATATTGAAAGAATATATAACTGATCATTTTCCCATATTTCTATCATTCAACTCAAATTCTAAAATCAAAACCAAAACTAATAATAAAATAAGTAAACACACATATATATATATAATATAAACAATATTGAACAGTTTAAAAAACAATTATCACTGCTTCATTGGAAGCATATAAATTTTAATGACGACGCAAATAAAATTTATGAAAATTTTTTAAAAATATTTCATTCTGTTTTCCCATCTGTGAAAAAACAATAAATCAAAAAAGCTTAAATGCTCCTTGGATAACTAAGGGTTTTAAAAAATTATCTAAAATCAAACAAAAGCTATATATAAATTACTTAAAAACAAAAACACCTTTAAACGCAAAATTATACAAAGATTACAAATATCTATTTGAAAAAACTCGTAAAAACTTAAAAAATAATTACTACTCAAAATTAATTGAAAATGTTAAGAACGATTCTAAACGTACTTGGAAAATATTAAGAGAAATTGGTGGAAAACAAAAAACTTGCTCAGGTTTTCTACCGCAGGTGATTAGAGTGGGTAAAAAAGATGTTTTTGAACCTAGATTAATACCTCACGAGTTTAACGAATTCTTTATTGATATCAATTTTGGGGCCATTTCTTTTTTTAATATACATTAATGATTTGCATAAAGCTTCTAATCTTTTAAGTATTATGTTTGCGGATGATACTAATTTATTTTTATCTAATAACAATATTAATAAACTCTTCACTACTATGAATGAAAAACTCAAAATAATTTCTAGTTGGTTCAAATGCAATAAACTTACCCTTAATATTAAAAAAACAA